TAGTTTCATGGTACTGTTTGCATCCAAACAAAGTCCCCACTAAATAAATGGAGGAGTAAATTGCATGGAAATGGAAGACCAGGGGAGCTGGAACTTAAAAAGCTTGCTTTAGCACTAAAGACAAAGTCACCAAGTTACATCTTCAGTGCGCTTTAGAGACATGTTTATTATACTTGTTGACAGCACAGATAATATTCCATAATCTGTTTGGTATTTCATTCAATAATGCCTAAAAATATGCATGATGCTATTACCAAACAACTTCCTTTCCATGCATAGACACAGCAAAACAAATCAAATCAGTCTCCCAGATTTTCTGAAACATGTGCTTCCAATAACAACGCCTATTTAAGGACTGCCTGCAGCCACAACGCTTCTGACTGTGCACCCTCCCTCTCTTTCCCCCACTCCATCTGTGTTTGTAGGATCACACTAAAAACATACCAGGCTTCTAGAGGGCTGGTTAAAGGAGGGCAGAAAATGAGAGGGGAGGAGGAGGGTGGGCAGGTCATGAAAGAGACAACATTGACTTGGACCAGTCACTCCACTCTTCTTTGACTCTCTATACAGTTTAGATCAGTTACCAATCAGCTTCTACCACTGAAACAAAAAAGTGTTATTTCAACATGGCAAAGGTTGCCTCAGGCAAGCAGAGGAAAGAAAAAACCCACCAGGGCATTTAAAATCCTGGTTCATCTTCTCTAAATCTTTTGCAATTGTTGTTTATCTTATTTGAGGTTAACGGACTACACTGAGACACAGCATTCAGGATGCAGATTCAGATGAGTTATGGATGGATGTATACAAGGGCATAATGATGTTCTTATGTCCAAGTAATTCCTATCATATAATTTGTTTCTTTTACTGCTATCAAGATGATGTTTTTATAGAGCTATTTATTATAACCCCAAGATTTCACCTTAGAGTGGCACAAGTTAGTGGGGATCCTATTGTGTTTTTTCCATATATGTAATTTTACAGTTACATAAACTAAATTTGTCTATCACTTTATGTACCAAAGTGTCTCTGCAATGCTCCACAATCAGTTATGTCTTCACTTTACTCTGAGTAACTTGGATAACTACTGTTTAGTGTTTGTACAGTGTTATTCCAAAATAGGTTCTCAGAGTGTACTAAATTTAGTTATGTTTCATTTTACACTTTATATATGCCAAGCTATTTCTACAAGAACGGCATACACAGTATATGTCAGTATCATTTACAATGCTTAAGCTAGTTTTTGTAAAGCTTCTACTCTATGTGAGACACTTCTATTAGCTTTGAAGAAGAAATATCATATTATCAGATTAGGTAGAAATAGACACAATATTCACTTGCATTTCAAAGTTCTTTACAGCTCTGTGCTAGATTCACCGAAATTCACAATCACTTCCTACAGATGGGGAAAAAACCAAGAACAAAACCAAAGCTTCTTCTCATCTACGATTTTCAAAATTTTATATTATTTTCTTATTTTAAAGGAGCGAACTTTTAGTTCTTAACATATTCAGAAGCTAACCACTGTCTTTTCCTGTTCCTACCACTCGCTCTGTTAAAATTCCTTCTTCTCTTTAATCATGTGTCTTTAATCACATGTCTTAACACATACATTACAGTTAAAGCTCACATGACCACAAGCTTCATTGCATTCTTAACTGTGTTGATAAATGAATCAGCTTCTAAACTCTGAGTGTCTGTTTTATCATTTTGAGGACAAGGTCAGAACTATGATGAATCCTGAATAAATCAGTCAAGGTCAGGCTTTGATAAGCCTCACCATAATGTGATGATTACAGCTTTTCTGAACAACGTAATTTGCACAGACTGTTTCTCAAAACAGACATAAATTTTTACGCCACTGTGCAGTTTGCAACTGCACTCTCGAGCTGATACAGTTTCCGTGGAATTTGAACAGTACTAGTTGCAGTTTGCTACGGCCTTTTACCTCAAGTATTACATTCCAAAAGCTATTTCATCACTGGCACTTCATTTACAGTGAGAGAGGACTCACGGTTATGTAGTATATTTCTGGCCTGTTGTGTTGTAGGGTCGGATTAAATAATATAAATTTTTGTACTACATTAAAACCAGAAGGGGAGTCATATTAGTTTGTGCTCTAGCACTTGCAGTGATGGAGAAATTAATTTTTAATTAGAAAGACATTAATTTTAAAATTCCTTATTAAAGGTAGTTATTACCCCACAGACATATGCTATGGAAGAGTAAAACTTTTACTATTGTTAAATGGAAATAGTCTGGTCTCAGTCTTAATAAACAAATAATTAAATTAAGAACAATCACAGCCATCTCAAGACCTCCACAAACAAACGACATAACACAAAAATGAGCTAAAAAGGTAAACTGTAGCAAAGAAAATTAATATCTTAATATCTGTGGCTTTATATAACAAAAAAAACCCCAAACCCCAACCTACCACCACATCAGTGAGCATAATAACAGAATCACACATGACAAATAACCCCACTCTGTTCTCCTATCAGATAACCTTGACTATGTTTCTAACATGATTTCAAAACAGATCTATGTGGCACTCTAATCACACAGACTAAATGCACTTGTCAACCTATCTGATGGCTCCAGCAGCTGAAAAATTCTTTTGATTTAACATTAGCACAAAAACTACTTCCCTTCCCCCTGCAAAAACTTCCTTTTTGGCCTAAACATATAATCATAAAACACCTTTATTCAGTGTGCCAGTTTGGATGCTATAGAAGCAATATAAGAACTAACAACCTTGTACATATAAACTCTGATATGCCCTGATCCGTCAAGCATCACTATCCATATTTTCTGTATGATAAACCACTGCTACAGCATTTACACACCTGTTTTCCTCATTAAATACAACAGAATGGCCCTTTTCACTAATTTTTGATGGAAATTTCTTGTATCCCACCATCCAATATAAATCTTCCCAGCTTGCAATAATATAAAAAAAATCAGGTCAAGCAACTTCAAGTGTATAAAACATGATTTTCACACACACTGTTGGGGGGTATTCCAGATTAATTATAAGACCAATAATTAACATCATACGTGTGATCCCAGCACCTCACTGATCTAACTCCCTGCAGAGACTGTTTATACTTTTCTGATAGATGATATATCAAATTCAACAATCCCAGCCAGCAGGCATAGAGATAATGCTGGGCTTCAAAAAATCATTAAGGATACTAATACCAGCAAGATTAAAACATAACAAAACCAAACCAAAACCATCTTTCCAATTAACTATGATAAAAGTTTTACTTGAAATCACTTGAAGTAAAATCAGAAGACTAGGACTGGCGCTTAGAACAACATTAATTAAATTTCACTTTTGAACATCTTATTAAATTTACTATTAGACTATGTCATGCAAGTAAATAAATGCTATTTATAACTATCTCTAAGCTACAGCAACCCAGTCATAGAGCCATTTCCCAGACCATGTAATTGTTATGCCAAACAGACTACTCTTTCATTTCTTGTCAGTCGTAATTACAGTTCCGTAATTGAAATACAGTAAATTACCATGCAGTAACTTTGAAAGATGGTTCACTGAGGTTAAGCTGTCACTACAATTACTGCATAATAAAAAATGATAATTTAAATGTTCTACTTCTCTCAAAGAAAAAAAAAATCAGTTCAAGCAGCTCAGATGAGTCAAATATCTTCATGATGATGTAAACAAAAAGAAACAACACATTTAAGCAAAGCCAAACAATCTCAAGTAGAAGTCCTAGGCTGTATAAACAAACCAGTGTATATAAATTTTTCTAACCACTGAAGAAAATTGTGCATTTAAAAACAATCCTTTAAAAGAATACTCTTTATCAGAATTCAGTCATACAATATCTATCCAGCATCTTCCATATGCACTCCTATCTTGCTCATAAGGCATATAAAGCTTTGGAAACGTCTTTCAAGTTTAATTTTAATTCAGTTCTATATTATGTTTTTGGCCACAACCAGTAACTGCAACTCACCTAACATCAACGAGGTGTGGGTAAAAGGTGTAAGTTAGCATGGTCACTTCTAAGCATAAAAATGTGCCTACAATTTTGAATTACATTTGTCAATCACAGTTTGCCTTTAGAAATTTTGTCAAATAGTTGGCAGAAATAAAACAAGGGAGGGACATATGCAAAAGACACAAATAACTGTCAATGCACAAATAACCCTCAACTGTTCCCTTACCAAAAAAATCTTTCAACAAATTCCTAGCTGCCATCTCTGTGAAGATAACTTCATAAAGGACATCTTTTGGACAACAGTAACAGATATGCACGTCTGAAAACTGTTCCTATTCTCTCCCTTACAAAGACTTTCTGCTGATGCTGGAAGAGGCAATTCCTACCATTCTGTTTTCTTCCTGTCTGCTTCCCGACACCTGCTCCCTGCTGTTTCCCTTGTGCTGGCACCCATCTGAGCATTCAGTAAATGAGATAAGGCCCATGAATGAAAAGGACACAAAATAAAACAAAAATAAGCCAAGTTGTAAGCAGTTCAAAGGACAAGGTGGGACAATGTAGCCAGGGAACAGGATGTGACACAAGGAGCTGAAGGCAGGAATAGTGTGCTGCAAAGAACTGCAGAGAGCTGCTAGAAGCTCCAAAACTGTAATTTCAAGAGCATCACAGGCAAAGCACACTGGCGCTCTTCAGGGCATCCTCAAGGTTTAGTGATTCCATTTAACCCAAGACAAATAAATGGTCCTCTGGACTGTACTCCCATCTACCCTCTCTAAAAGTTTGCAAGTAAGCAAATGTAGTAAATAACTGCTTGAAGGGTCACAACTTCAGCTGTGACAAACAATCAAAACACTATATAATGTATGAAATAAAACTTACTATCAGCAGCTAAGAATCTCCTAGCCCAAATCTTTACCTATTTACTTTGCTAAGAAAATACTAGTCTCTGAAAGCATCTAGTATGGGACATCTGAGAGAGGTATGCTTTTTCTCTGCAGAGATTAATTGTAATCTGTAATTGTTCACCTCTGTTGCTTTCTCCAGGCTCTGCTGTAGATTGAGCAATTCTTTATCGTGTTGCTCTTTAAGTTTATCCATCTCCATGTCATGGCTAGATACTTCCTCTTTTAGTGCTCCTTTCAAGGCTGTAAGCTCTCTCTCTCTCTTTCTCAAAATTTCTTCTTGTTGATCTTTTGCTAGTAATACTTCTTGCAGATCCTGCTTCATTTGCATCAGCTCCTAAAGAACAAAATTAAACACAATTGCATGACAAATAGCTCCAACGGATGTTCCATTTGTGTTTCAGAGAAGGAAAGCATCTAAGTATATGCTCCCCACGGCCAACTTCATTTCATATGACTGATGTCTTTTTTGTGGCTTTTATGGTAAGCTAAAAATTTACTAAAACCTAGGATTATTAGAAGTACAACATATAGCTGATGTTTTATATAATGTGTCAACATATCTGATGCTGCAAAACTACGAAAAGATTTTGATAGTGTATGTTACGCTCTCTGTAAATAACTGAGAAGTCAAATGAAGGTTGCAATTTAACAACTCCCTCACTCCTACCTTCTGTAGCAACGAGGCAGATAAGAACAAAGAAAAACTTTTGTTTCCCACACTGCAAGAGAAGCGAACCCAGTGATAATTCCTTGTTCTCATTTCTGATGGAAAGAATAAAGTAAGTTGCTTCTGCAAGTGCTGAAGACAAAACAAGTGCTTCCCAAATGAGTCCAGACCTTTATGCCCTTCCTCCTCCCACCTTGTTCCCCCTAGAAGTCATTTCCCCTCTCCAGATTGCTGGGAAGGAAGTCAGTAGTCAGCGAATCTGAAGAATAAATACATGCAATCATGTATACAAACACAGAATAAAATAACAGCAACAATCAAGAATGTACAGCTTCAAGAATTACCTAATTCAGCATTTCTCAAGCTGTGGATAACTGCACTTTCAAAAAAGAATGTAAACTTCCCCTGCACTGACACAGGATTGGTACATCTAAACAATTCCTGACACACATCACCTATTCTGTCCTTGAAAGCCTACAATAAAAGGGACTCTACCATCCCAGATAGCAATGTTCCACTGTTTAATTATCTATATTGATAGCAAATGTTTTCCAATACTTACTTTAAATCTCTGCAGCTAAGTCTCTTATTGCTTACTCTATCCCTACACAACATAGAAAAATTGATCACTATCTCCTTTACAGCAACATTATATAAGATATGCTTTCGACTCTTCCCTCACTCTTCCATTCAGACTAAAGTCCTTCTTCATAAGTAATGTTTTTCAGTACTATCACCATCATTCCAGATATTCTCCTACTCATGTACAACTTTCAACTGCAGTGCTTGAGATTTAGGACAGTAATTTAAGAGTAATCAAATCTCACCTACACAAAACAAGGTAGTTATTCTATTCAGCATATCTTGCATTCAAACATCTTTAATATTCCTGAGATCTACTGTCTATGCTTTTGCTCCCTATTTCGCATTTTAACATTTAGCCTCCATTTCTTAAGCTAGTTCTTTGCACTAGTATTAAGAGAACTTAATTGTTTTGGTACTACAAAGTATTAAGATTATCGTGAATTCTAATCTTCCTCTTGAACCATTATGCACTGATACTCTTACACAACCTTATCAACAAATTTAATATGCAGTATTCTCTATTTAATCATCAGTATATTACTATAATGAGGGCTACAGCCAATTCCTCTTTCATCCCAAGGTGATAGAAAACCTGTTATTCTTTTGTTTCTCTTGAGACTATCCCTTCTCTTCTCTCCCTTGTCTCATCAATAGGGAGACAACAATTTTGAGACTGCTTTGGTGAGTTCTTTTAATTTTCTTAGTTGAATCTGATCTGGCCTTGCTAGTATGTACACCTTTAAACTGATCTCAGTTCTGAGCCAAAATCCTATCTACTTGTTAAAACTGACTGAGATTATCTGGTTATAGTGGATAATTCAGCTGTCCCTCAGCCACTGTGTTATTTGTTCTCCTGTTCAATAAAAAAATTGTACTTACTCTTTGCATTCCTTTTGGTGTTAACGTCGTTATTATAACATGCTTTCTTACGTTACTTCATAATATTTATCATATATTTTTATATATATTATGTATAGATATATAAAGCAATGTATATCGGTTTTTGATTGACAGAATGGGAAAAAACTAAGGTATGTATTTCTTCTACCTGTATCTTGGTTCTCACTTTTTATGCAATTCTTTTTATTTTTTTTCATCCTTCTACTACTTTATAACTAACCTCAATCAGAACCTCTTTCTCGCCTTCATCAGTATGTTTTGCGTTATCCAGTTCATCATGCATCTCAGAGAGCTGGTCTTGAAGATCTCTGATCTCACTCTGGTGTCGCTCCTGCTCCATCTTCACTTCAAAAAGCCTCATCAGGAAAAATCAGACAGGATTTTTTTAATTTGTAGAAATACTAATTTGTTCTTTCAAGTACTAAAATGATGTTAAGTATCTGTTCCCATGTTCCCCACAAGAGAATGGGTTATAATGAGGCAGAAAAATGAAATGTCAGAGGGGTAAAAATGAGAACTCTTTTAAGCAGATATTTAAGTAGAAAGTTGTATTTTATTTTAAACCTGGTACTAAAGCACTTGAGAGTTTCCGTATTTTAAAGCGTTGAATTATATATTACAACCATTAAATATTAAAAGCAATTTGCACTGCAAGGAAGACTAAATTCAGCAATCTTTCTTTTCTTTACAAATATTCTAAAACCAGGATGCTTTTAAATAGTAGAAACATTTCCTACAACAAACATCACTCTATCTGATTCCATTAACGTTTTCTGAAAACACAGGTACTTTTAATCTAAAAAGTTTAAGAAAAGGTACAAATGCCAATTAATAACTTTTCTAGAATTAACTCACTCCTCTAAGTTTTGCCTGAGTTCCTTCTCGCTTTCTTCCAGCTCCTTTTTTAAGGCTTCTTTTTCACGTATACTTTCATCAAGTTGCATCTGAAGATCTTTCAGGCTTGCTTGTGTTGCTTCTCTCTCTTCCTTGGAATTTTGCTGATTCTGAATTTTGCACACCAAAAGTTAAGCAAGATTATAGACTAAGCATAAATAAATTACAGGCTCTTTTTTATTATATGAAAGAAGCCATTTCAAGACTTTGATATTTTTCACTTGTAAAAGTGCTTATTAAGTTATTAATATTAAAAGCTTGGAATGTTTATTAAAACACACAAAGCACTGCTTTTTGAGTTTTATTAGAAATGTGAGAAGTGAAGTCACCTCAGTACTATCTAATCAGTTGCAAGTATATTGATTCTGATCAGAGACTCAAAATGCAAACTGAAAGAAGCCAAGCTGTCCTTCTTATGTCTTCAGCGCATGGTTGTACATAATTACTTTGAATTCAGCACTGTAAAAATAATGCTGTAATTAATAAACAGCAGCTAATGAGTAATATAGTTTGTTTCTCACTCCATGCCTGCCTCACTGCAGATTAACATATACCTCTGCAGATATCCAAGAAACTTTGTGTCCACGTGCCTGATATTTTTATTCACTGCTCCAAACTCCTTCTCAAATACTAAAAAGAAAGCCATTTCTTAAGAAGGTCAACTACGCTATGAGCAACAACACTTACAATAAAATCTCTTCTGTAAAGCACAGGTATGTCTGGATTAAAAAGAATACGAAGCAAAAAAGATTCAGCTGGTTCATCAGTTGTCACTTACTTCAAAAAGTAATTTGAAATAGTTAAATGCTTTATACCAAGGAAGTGCCGTACCCTAATTTCTAGATCCAGTTTTTTCTCTAATTCTTCCACTTTCCTTTCAAGTTCTGCTTTTTGTTCCACCAATGCTTTTACTTCAGCTGAAGAATCCGAAACCTACAATTAAACAGAGATGTTTTTTCCCCCCAAAGCTAAGATTTGCTTTGACAATTGTTTTTTAAAATCTAAAGTAAAGCTACAAGCAAGGCTAATAAAGCACAGCATCAACTGCCTGAGCTCACCAGAGACTTTCCATATGGGTCAAGCCAAGCTTAAATTTTCAAAGGAACCATGATTTCATTTTCATAAAACTTCTTGGTAATTGCTCAAGGCATGTTGCCAATAATACAGAAAATATACAAACCTAAAGAAAAATTCAAATTAGGCAACATATGAATTAAGTTACAAGTACTCCAGGCCAAATTTGGCTGAGATATCACCATGTTGTGATTTGAGCCCACTTGGCTAGCAGCAAAACACCACATGGCTGCTCGCTCACCCTCCCCACCCCCTCAGGAATGGGGGAAAGAATTAAAAGGGTACAGGGAAAAGATACTCGTGGGTGGAGAAAAGAACAATTTAATAACTAAACAACAATAAAATTTAAAATAATTATAACAATAATAGTAATATACACAAATGAGCAATACACAGTGCAACTGCTCACCACCCAATGACCAAGGCTCAGCCCATTCACAGCAAACGATCCTGGAGCAGGGAGTCCCAAAACCACAACCCCAGAAAAGAGATAAGAGCCTGAGCGTCTGAGAGAGCTACAGGTGACCAAGAGAGTGAGATATTACCCCAAGAGAGAGAGGGAGATGTCCCAGAGAGAGCAAGCTTCCAGACAGTCCCTCATAATATACTAGGCATGACGTTCCTGATATGGAATATATCATTGGCAAATTTGGGTCTCAACCCTAAACCTAAGGTTAAATCCTAAGCTTAGTAATTGGGGCTGTGCTCCCTCTCAGCTTCTCCCGCACCTGCAGACACTGGCACAGCAGAGAAGCTGAAAAGTCCTCGACTGTCCTCAGTGCAGGATTAAAATTAAGCTATACTACTGTGAGACTACAAGAGTAGTCTAATGGAATTCAGCAAGGGGATTAAAATTTTTAAAGCCCTGTTTGAACACTGTATCACTATGAAACAAGCCAAAACAACTTAAAAAAAAAAAGTTTACCTGTGTCTTTCCAGCAGCTCTTGACTTTAAAGTCTGAATTTTCTCAAAAACTAAGTTGACTTTCCTCTTTGTCACATCATCATTATCAGCACTTCTAAAACACAGACAGTACAAGTGAGCAATTATATGCTCAAAGGTACTGTTTTCTTAACATCAAAATAAATGCAGTGTCTAAACTATTGAAAATCACAAAAAAAATCTAATATGAACCAGTCAGAGATTATCTTAATTATTATTTCATTAAACCTTTAAAGAGAGGTAAATAAAAATTTATATTCCAAATGTTTTCTAAAAAACCCCAACCAAACAAATCAAACACAAAAAACCCCACTGAACTCTTTAATTGCCACTCTCTTCTACAAGACCATAGCTGTGGAAAAACAGGTATTCAGCATGTATATTAGTCAAACATACTGAAATTAGAAGTAATTAGTATTCGGTTTTTCAGGTCCTGGCTACTGCACCATAAAATAACACTTCAGTATCTCCCAGAACCTACTACATTAGGAATGCAAGGAAATTTAAGTGCGTCATGTATATTTTAATTCATTTCTCCTACCTTCATCTTTCAATAAGTTATCATTAGAAAATACCAAGTAAAAGAGCTACAGGTGGACAAAAGATTAAACACACAGCAAGAAGAGAGATTCTGTCAAACCTTAAAAGATAACACTTGTCTGTTGTTAAAAAATGCACAAGCTTAAATTCCCTTGAGGTATGCTTTGAATTCTTCATTAACCTCCATGTCACCTGAAGTTTAACCCCAAAAGCATTTAAAAGACAAAACATGTTCTGATTCACAAATGTCAAGTACATTTAATCAAATCCTGTACAAAACCTTACGTAAATCCTGATTGCCTGAGTACTTTGAGATCCCATAATGCCTTAAAGGACACAGCTGAGATACAGAATTATGAAACAGACACTTCATTTAGTCAGAGCTTTGATCTTCCAGTCTCATATTTTAAATTTAATAGAAAATAAACACTGAGAAAATACAATCTCCTCCCCCAAAAGTTAACTATGTTTACTAACCCTTCCTTAAGGTAATTGTAAAGTATCTGCTTAGCAGTCTCCTCATTTGTTTGCTGTGCAAGATCTTGCTGCCCTTTTAAGAGATCAGGAGTTGCCTAAAATGACAAAATAAAATGTCAAAAAATAGAATCCCATGAGGGTTGTAAATACAACCTGTACAATTGAAGTTTTCCACTCTAGTCTATTATAAAAATATTTATGTACTGCGGACCTGAAGTTCACAAAGATCCACTGGAGTTTTGGTTTAGTGCAAGAAGAAAGTGTACTCCGCACCAAAACAAAGAAAACATAATTTTGCATGGGGTTACATATATTTCAGCATTCTGATTTTGTGTATTTATGTTTAAGAATCATCATAACATAATTTACAATTATTTTCTTTGGCCCCACCATCTTCCTTCACCCATACAGGAATAAGTTGTTTTACAAACTACGTTTTCCATACCTGCAACTACAGGAATAATTTTTGTATTTACATTTCTCCAGAACAACTTTGCTACCCCATGGTATAGGGAGTTTGTTCTAAGGAAGCGCAGAAAAATATGAATTTAACAATATGACAGTTTTAATAAGCTGGAGTGCAAAACAACTTAAAGAGGAAATTCAAAATTACCTGTGTATTAGGGATGGATGAAAACGTTTTTACAGAAATCTTCTTGGCTCCTGAACTAGCTGGAATTGTCATTCGGTTTGGCAACAACAAAGTAGAAGTTACTGTTCTAACCTCCTCTCTCTTATTCTGTCCCGGGAGTGTAGATGACCTCAACATCAAGCTCTCAGTATCAGCTCCATTTTGTTTATGGTATTGCAAAGAATTGAAATTGCTGTTCTGAGTGTCTTTATCAGGCATTTGCAGTTTTCCAATACTTCGAGCAGAAATCTTCATCTCTTTGGAAGGTGACTTTTGATTTCTGGATAACTGCTTGTGAAGGCAAACTTCAGATGGTCTCAGCAAGTGCTCAGTTGACTTACCCAAGCTTCTACTGAATTCACCTAAATAATCTGAATTTACATCAAGCCCTAACGACAAGGCACTATCAACACTTCTTGATCTCTTACGATCATCTGGATGAATTCTATTCCTTTTTCCTGACCTACCTCTTCTGTGAGGATCAACTCTCTTATCAAATTTCTCAATTAGCTGATCTACTCCTGGAAGTGAACCAGTGTCAATATCACGGCCCGTTCCAGGCAAAAATGGGATATATCTTCTGTTTTCATGCCGATTAACATTGTCTGCATAGATGGCATACTCTTGGTCATCAAGTAAAAATCTGTACAAGGAATTTGCAGAAGTGGGAGTAGCTGACGAGGATGATGATCTTCGTGAGTCATCCAACACTGGCCCAGCTGAATCTTGTCTGCGGAAGGGAAGAACATCTGGTCTAGGTTTTCTTGTCTCTGGATAAGCAGTGGAGCTAACACATGAGGATCCTCCAGAAGACAAAAATGATTCTGAAACACGCACTTCATTAGGGCTGATCATGCTACTGGGACAATCCAACAGCTGCTTATTTTGGTCTTCTACTGATCTGTTCAAATGTATCTTCTTTGAATTTCCTTTGGTTGGCTCTGCAAGATATGTATTTGTTTTCTGTAGGGACGCTACTTTAGATGAGGAAATCCAAGGCTTTACTTCGGTTTTATCTTCATCTGCAAAAGATTTAGATTTATTGCACACAGAAGGTTGGCAATTCTCCAAGTTATTTTTTGCAGGATCATAAGGCTGTAAAAGTTCAGGATGTCTCTGAAAGTTCAACAAATTGGGGGATTTTGTTGTTCCATCTTTAAAATCTGATTTTCCATTTTCCTTTTCATCCAGATTAGTTATCTTTAGGCTTTTAAGCATACAGGGTTGCATGTGCTGTGCTTCAGGAAAATTTGTGTGTTCACTGTTTTTGTCCTCCAACTTAAAAGCAGTACTGGAGTCCGTGGCTGGCTTGCTTACAGTCTGAGAAATGACCTGCTGTTCTTTTCCAGAAGGAGGGGGATTTTCTGAAAAAGATCCTTCTGTATTGTTTAGTACTATGTAAGGATGTCCATCAATTCCTTGGACTCTAATACTGACACCATAAGACCCTGTCCTAGAATTTTGTGCATTCCTGGTTTTGTGAGTCCCATCACTTGCGAGTTCAAGAGTGACTTCATAATCCTGCTGCACGTGCTTAAAACCAGCAAAATATGGCTCCATGATTATCAGAGGATTATAGCTGAACAAAAGAAAAATTACAAAAATGTCATTGTTTTAATACTTTAGATTATTTCATTAATTACTTTATTCCACCATTCAGTGTAACTATGAAGATTTACAGTAACATACTGAGAAATCAATATACAAGATATACAAAGCCCAAACAGAATGCATTGTGATATGAAGACAAATGTCTTACTGATTGATTCTGGATCAATGTAATGTTATTTCATGACTGTAAGACTGTAAAGAAATAACAACAGCTAAAGTTACCTACACAGAGTTGGTGCTAGTTGCTTTGGAATCAAACTACTTTAAACATAAGCAATTCTAGTATTTTTTTTTTTGAGTCAAAGCAGCTTGTATTTTGGGTATCTCCACTATATTTTCTGAAAAGACCATACCCTTCACAAATCAGTGATCAGCCAGCAGTTAGTACCAGCCATATGAACATTTAAACATAAGCCCAGGAGTGCAAAGCACAACCAGACAGTTTTAGGTTATGAGTTTTAAGTAACTAAATCACTGCAAAGAAGGTCAATATCCGCATGCCTTTGAGTTGTGCTTTTATGTACTTGGTTTTCAACATTTTTCTTTAAGACATCTGAAAATAAACTTTTTAGTTTATTATCTCATTGTTATCCATAAAAATAGACTTTCCTACAGCTTAATTTAACAATCCTCCAATTGTGGGCTTGTTCCAGAAAGCTCAAGTTGATATTTTAAAACAGATGCTTTGCTGGGCAACATAAATGGAAAAATACTACTAGTATTTCCAAAGCTGACAGTACCTTTTTCACAAGCAATAGAAATGTAACTCCAGCCAATACGTGCCAAAACTGTTTCAGCTCTAGAAAACAATGAATTAAACCCTACCTGTGCTTTTAACATTAAATACTGTTCTTTCTTTCTGTAAGAGACATTTCTGTGGCTAATTTTACTTTACTACCTGTTGCATATTATGAGCCAACTGTCTAGTGGCAGATGCAACGCAGTAAGAGCTGCGTCTATAAAAGAATGGAACACAAGACTCTGTCAGACTGATGCAAAACCTGGAGGTAATAAACTTTTGAACTTAGCTGGAGAGTTCAGTAATCACTGAAGCCTGACAAAACCAAGATCACTAAATGATGGTGAATAATCATCAAGAGGAAACTGAAATAACAGGATGTCTCATGGAAAAACAAACCTCTGCAGCCAGTTTCACACGGTGTATTTCAGCATGAACCATCTCCCTCAGGTATTCTAATCAACGGCAGAATTACCATTTTTTTCCTGACAATGAATTAAAAAGTTTGGCTCAATATTCACAGTATGCTAGCTTCCACCCAATTCTTCCTCCTAGCAGGACAGCTCCCCTCAAAAATCTCTTTCTCTCCCTAAAAACCAACTCCAGCTCCTCCTCAACAGCAAGCTTACTTCATCTGAAGGAATCAGAATATGTTTCTCTAAATACAATGGTAGGCATCAAGTGACCATTTTAATGAAGAAAAAAAAGCAGTCTCACTGTCAAAGTATTTCTCAGATATCAAAATATTTGATGAAGGACTTAAATTTACCAAAATTAATTCAGGGATTTTATTCACTTAGTAAAGGGAAGGAAACAGACACTATGAATTTGATCTCCATCCATCGACTTCCTGGAGTAGGAAGAGAAACAGAACAAGGGAAGAGCAAAGATGAGCCAAAGAAGACTAAGGGAAGTGGAAAAACAAAGGAGCAAGAACAATGGAAGGAAACAGAAAGGACCATTACATTGATTATCTTGGGCCTCCATTCTATGTACTTCTCCATAATTTTTTACCTTCTTTTCTGAATACTCATAAAATCTCATATTCGTCACACCATTTCAATGCATAAACCGAGACAGAAATGACAAAGTAAAAATACCAGAAGCTGATCCTAATCACCCAGACTCAATTTAAGAGATCTTTTGGGAGGAATATAAGAATGTTGTCAGA